ATATAGTACATAGTAGTCTCTTGACCTGAGGCATGAGTGTAATATCTTACATGTCAGTATAGGTGTACTTAGACTTTTACCTAACCACAGTTCTCATTGAGTTGTGCATAACGGTTCTTGTTGGGTGCATCCCGAGACATAAGTAGATATTGAGATGCCAAGATGAGATTCGTCTCTCCCAGTATAAGGGGTTGATGTCATAAGATTGTTTGATATAACTATAGCCAGGAAGTCCTCGGCCGAGGTAAATAAGATAAACTGAGTGTCAGTTTGATCTTATTGGTTATGAGTTTAATATCAACAAACACTAATCGAGCTATTAGGATTTGACGGTTTTTCATACCCTAGGCCGATAGTTTGACATGGTTTGACGAAGAGACCGGACTGTACAATATTATCACCGAGTGGTCCTGATAAAATTGTGTTATCATCTTGCAGACATTTATCATAACTTATACTCGGATAGTCTTCATGTGTAGCTAGCACCTCTGTTGTACTTGTGGATATCATCCACTGTCGAGTTCTTAAGTTGGGCCGTAGAGTCACACCAAACGCGTACTTAATCCTATGAAACATTATTTATAGAGTGATGCGTATGATTAATACGCATATATGATTTTACCGGATACACATAAACGGTTATGTATATCGGTAAAATCGGAATGCTATGTGCTTAGGAAATGAATTCCAGTATTTTTCCCATAAAGTTAACTTTTAGTCAACTAGTTGACTTTTTTGTCAATAGTTGACTTTTGGTCAACTCATTGACTTTTTTGGTCATATGATAACTTATTGGTCAATGATTGTAAAGTTACAAAATATCGTATTTATGAAATACCGTATTGATGTGGTATTTTTATTTATGAAATACGCACTTCATTATACTTTGATTAATGAGTCATGAGATGAGTCATTAAGGTGGTATGGTTTGGGAACATGGTTTTAGCACATAGTTTTGATTCTTCATGATTCATTGCATGATTCATGAGATGAGTCATTGCATGACTCATGGGAGAATCATTGTTTTGATGACTCATGGTGTGACTCATGGAATGAGTCATTCATGTCATGATATATTCTTCCTCTATAAATATGAGCTCTCTTTCTTCTTTCATGGTTAATAAAAAAATAAAATAAATGGTTTATTCATAGTTGCTTTCCATAAAAGAAAAGAAGAGAGATCTACCTCTTACTAAACTCTAGCAATCTTTAAGTAAGAGGAAGTAGTAGGATTTTAAAGTACCCCGGGATGGATATCTTACCTTGTGTCTCAAGAAGACTCTGATTTTATCAAGCTCACTTGAAGACTTGGAGATCCACTACGAAGAGATTTACTACTACAAAGAGCAAGAGCTAGGGGTTGTTCGATCTTCCATCGAATCACGCTTCGAAAGTATGACTTTCTAACTCTTGTATGCTCTCTTTAATGTAGGGATCATGTTAGATTCAATTAGGATGGTCCTATTTTGTTTTTCATGCTCTCTACATGCTTAGTATTATTATACATACAGTCTTCCGTTGCGTATTTTGCATGTATTTAGCACGAATTTCCTTCAGGTGTTATGTGTCAAATTCAACCATGTTGGAGACGACTCAACCCCTTGCCCTGAGTTTACTCAAAACGACACCTAGATCTTAGGGTACATGCATTGGGCTTGTTCATGAGAATGATGCCAAGGTCTTTTGTCTTTATTGCCAAGTCGATGAAGATCGATTGGTGAAGACTGCATATAGGTTAGTACATGGCGCAAAAATATCTCTTATTTATGAAAGTATCTTAACTTGACTATCTTGGGGAGGTATCCTCCGAAATGTTTTATTCTTTATGACAAACTTATTGTTTTTGCTCTTACTCTTCAATCATCATTGGGTGGAATTTCTTGATTGCTATAGCGCTCACATGTCGACGGTGGCTTCTAATTCTGAGGTCTGGATAGAGGGGATCGCCCACCTCCTCAAGAAGAGATGAAGAGGCCCCATGGTGGGCACAAGTGTTGATGCCTAAGCACTCAACAGTGGGATTAGGGGCTAATCCCAAACAATAGAGGGGTAAAGGGTCGACAATGAAGATGTTGGGGGTCCTTTCATCCCCTCTGGTGGCTAATTCCCTGATAGGATGAGAGTGCTGCAAAATCACAACATGTTAGAGAACCGAAGTTGGGTTCTCCGGTGATCCTTCCGATGATCAAGTTAGTATTTAGCTTGAGTAGAGAATGGGAGCAATGAACGGAACAAGTTCTAAGTGTACAGAAATTACATTATTCAGCAAGAGATTGCTCTCTTTAGCTTGAGATGGCTCACCTTCAAGAGGAGGCAATGAGCCTATATATACCAGCTGAAATGGGTGAATGTAACTTTGGTTGAGACCAGGCAGATAGCTGAGTCGCAGATATTCCATGAGTGTCGGCTGCAAATGAGATGAGTCATTTGTGAGCTTAATGTGATGGCGACTAGGAAAATGTAGTGCTGATGGAAGGTGATGAGTCATCTATGAGCTTGATGTGATGGTGACCAGGGAAACGTAGTGCTGATGAAAGGCGATGAGTCATGGAGACTATCATGGGAGGAGTAATGGTGATGCTAACCAGCTGTTAGTGAGAGGTTCGAGGACAAACCGCCTCCCTACTCGGCTCTACAATAGGACCTGTAAAGGACACCTCTCGACTTAATCTTGTGATCAGGCCGATAAGTACCGCCTTTCTACTTGGCTACGAGAGTTGTTAACCCGACCTTACATAATAATAAGACGTGAGGTCAATTCCAATAGTGAAGTTGATATGCTCTCTGACTTGGCTCTTACTATTAAGGGTCGAGAGATGACTCGATGGACTCATCCTACCTAAGGTTGAGTTGAGATAAGGTCGCAATAATCTGAGACACATGTCGACTCCATGGAGAGCATTAACGCTCAAGATATTCAATGACATAACAAGAATTAAGTATGGATGGCTAAGCAATGTTTCTAAACTAATTCTTATTAGGGCAAATAAAAAAGGTGAATTTTTTTCTTTTTTTCTTTTGGTTTTATTATGGTTGACAGAGAAGTAATTTTTTTACCTAGTGCAAAACTAGTTCAAAAACGGTAATAGGAGACTAAAGAGTCTTACCTACGACTAGATTTGTCATCTTCTATTTACCATAGCTGACCCGTGTTTGCTTGAACTAGTTGCTACCATAACCCTTGCCTATGTTGTCATTCCTCCTCCAAGCTATTCCTGCACAAGTAAACCAAAAGGATGAAGGAATCTTAAAATAAAAATCCTAAATTAAAATTTCCTCAACAACGGTGCCAAAAACTTGATATATTTTTTATGTATTATGCAAGTGCACAGCTTTCATTTTATACTTAATTGGTCGATCCAGAAGGAAAATTTGTTAGGAAAGATCTATCTTAAGATCCTAGGTTTAAAAAAGGTTTTCGATTGTGAAAGAGGTTAAATGTTTATTAATAGAGTTAAAACTAGGTTGCTTAGGCTGACTCCACTAGATTTTCTAAATTATATCTTTTATTTAATCTCTTGTATTTGTTAGAACCCTAAAAGTACAAACTGTGTTTTGCTGGAAGCTATAACCTATCAATTAGTTCTAATATTTTATTTACTAAACCCTAAAAGCATAGGCTATGTTTCCTTAGAAACTGTAACCTATCAATTAGTTAATCTCAGTCTTTTTATTATCGAACTTTAATCTGCTATGTATAGGTTATGCCTAATTAAAGTCAATAACCTATCAAATTATAATTAAACATAGCTTTTATTAACCTAAACTAATCAATTTCTTTACTTAACCTAAAGATATCTTTTTATTTATCTAAATTTCTTTACTTAACCTAAAGATATCTTTTTATTTATCTAGATTGGTTGCCTAGCTTTGTTAATCTAAACTCCCTAGTGATTAGCTACACATGGTTAATTAAAGAGAAAAGAAAATTAAAGAAAAGAGAAGAAAGAACAATAAAATAAGAATAAGAATAAGAACAAGAAAGTAAAACAAGGAATTAAAACTTACCAAACTTAAGAAACAAAAAAAAAAGAAATTGAACTCTAAAATAGCAAGCAAAAAGAAGAGCTTTATTGATTCTCATGAATTGAATGTGTAAAATACAACGGCTCGAGACCCCTTTTGTACTATACAAGAGTCTCTCACGACTGCATAATTAAACTTGATATACAAATAACCCTTACAACCGTAAGATTTGACTTGGCCTCCAATTACTTCATTTCGTAATACAAACAAGAGTCTTAAAAAACTTTAAAGCTTTTCTCTTCTTTTTTTTTGCCAGAATTGGGAATTGCTGATGAAATTTCAAAAATTTATCAGTCTGGATGGATCCGTCTCGTGGAGGTAGGCACTTTTCATGTAAAGTATGTTAGATTTTGTCTTCGAGATTTGAAGATATTGCCTTTTCTTTGCGGTTGAAAATCTGAATCTGAGTTTGACTAGAATTTATTTCCTTCACTTCCAAATAATTGATATTTCCTTTTTCTCTTGATCCATGTTCTTGATCTAATTGAGGCTTAATTGATTCTTCTAGAAGTTGCGGGTTTTTTAGCTTCAACGGACTTCTTCGAGCTTCTCTTTATTAAGCTCTTTCCAACAAAACAAGAAGTACAGAATGCTTTTTGGCTTCAACGGACTTCTTCGAGCTTCTCTTTATTAAGCTCTTTCCAACAAAACAAGAAGTACAAAATGCACATCGTTCCTTGTATCTCCCCTCTCTCTCCCTCTTCTTACTTGGCAAAGCCCTTTCCATCAAAACAAGAAACACAAAAGATATATCGTTCCTTACACCTCATCATCTTTCTCTCTTCTTACTTAGCACGCCCTTTCCAACAAAACAAGAAGCACAAAAGGTTTATCGTACCTTGCACCTTACCTCCCTTTCCTTCTTACTTACCAACCCATGCTATGACATGAACGTCACAAAAACATCATTTCTCAAATTCAACATGGAACTAAATTAGAAAAATAAGATAAAAAACAAAAAAGAAACATATGGAAAACCCAAAATTTTCTCAATTTCTCCAACACAAAACTTCCATTTGTAAACAGAAGGGCAATTCAGTAAGAAATAAGCAGATTCAGATATGCAATTTAACTCTGCTCTATATAAACCCAGCTCCTGCCTGCAGCTATAGTTATACATTGTTATAAACCACTAGCCCATTCCTTTGTCTTGCTTCTATAGGTTGTACCATTCTCTTAATATAAACATACTGACCAAAGATGCAGAGAATGGATACAGTTTTCAACCTCTATTTACATTTTCCACCTTTCACTGTTACTAAAATGCAAATACTAACTCTCGACAACCCAATTGTCCATAGGGTTGAGATCTTCCAAGCCAAAATTATCAGTCTGGTTCTTGCTGTAAGGAGAATGCCACAGCCGAAGATTATTGTGCACAAACTCCAAATCCGCAAACTTTTGCTGCTCAATGCAGTTTCGTCCCTTTGCATGCAACTGTTCGGACAAAACTCTCCTGAGCTTATACCTAGCTGCAGTGCTACAAGTCTGGCTAAGGATTTTCACGGCAAGTTTCTGTAGCTCAGGGCTCTCGCCTCCATACAAAGACCACCAGTCAGCTGCAACCATGGAATGTAGTACGAAATTGATGAAACCAGTATACCCAAAAGTGTGGTTTGTACAGGGCAAATTGAGGATAGACCCGTTGTAGTTCTATTAGTCTATAGAACCCCTGAGTGAATTATTTTTTTACTCTTTCACCCTCAGGAGGTCTAATTGTCAAGTAACAATTTTTTTCCTCTGGGAAAAAGACCCAAAAGTTTTCACTCTATCTGAAACAATAGAACCACAGGGGGTCTATCCGTAATCGGGTGGTAGTGCAAGGGGCCTAACTGCAATCAACCCTTTGTTATATTCCACCACATAAATTCGTGATGCGTCTAGTAACATACCATTTGATTCTTTTTAAAGGTTAGCAACTACTAAAACATGTTTAGAACAGACTGTCTTTCATATTTGCAAAACATAACTGCATAAAAAGAATACATCCAAAACAACACCAGCATATTCGTTGTTGGTGGATTATAAGCCAAATAAAGCTACTACCAAACATCTCAAAGTGGCATACAAGCCATGAAGTGGCTATAAGCCACTTTGACCATTTACCAGACATGCTTTATATAAGTTGTGCCCTAGGTTACCCGGACACTTCATCTAGGTTCCTGTGTCCGTGTCCTACACTCCGTGGACACTTGTTCGATATATACATACATTTATTCAGACATGTACTCAATTATATAACACATATTTTAGTTCAAAAAACTCATGATAACACTTCTTGAACGTATACCATACACTTCACCTCAAATTTATGCAACCTTTTGGACTCAGGATAGGTTAGTTTTAGCAAGTACCTAATTTTTAAGTACGTTATAAAGGGTTGTTTGCGTATCTAGTACAAATATGAGTGGTTTTTCAATTTATAATCTACTCGATAAAAGAAAACATAACAATGGTATAAAGATTTTAGTTCTCATAACATGCGAATGAAGAACAATATTGATTGCATATAGATTATTTATTTTAATATGTATGTATATAGTTGTGTCACCGTATCCTAACTTTTACTATTTTGTCCAGTCCCGTATCTGCACCCGTGTCCGTGTCCGCACCCGCACCCCTATCCGTGCAACATACATTGTGCCCATTCAACTAGTTTTAGTTACTGCTAGATGTGCATATCACATACTTCATCAATTGCTGTGTAAAATCACGAAGATGATAATATGTTGTCTCATGTGATCAATCATAAATAATATTCATGTTATACAACTAATTGTTTTCTGTGCATGACTTCAATCATGATGTATAGATTTTCATAATTAGCATCATCATAGAATATACATGTCCTGTTAGAACTTGAACCTCAACCATAAGCAATGGGAACTTGAACCTCAACCATAGGGCAATGACTCAGAGCAGACAAACTATACCTTAAATATGTTAGTACTTTATACTGGTGAGCAAACAACCCATGAAATGCCAAGCAACATTTTTATCCTGGGTAGCTTGCGTGTAACCACCATCATCTATGTCTTCAATTGCACTAAAATCCCTTCAAGTCATTTACTAGCACTTGGCCCCCATGAAGTCATGACTAAGAAGAGGAAGCATTACTTGCAATATATCTTTCTAAAAGTGACATTTACGTTGTGCTAAGTGCTGATAAATAAGTTGACGGGTGTAAAGCGCCACAGAAGGTATATAAAAAGGGGGTCACGTGCAATTTACCATTTTATCTTTGTGAGTGGTTGAGGACTCTGAAAGGAGATGGCTTGGCGAATTCGGTTTTTAAGAATGTACACCTGGGTTCTTCTTTCTCCTTTTCATACTCTACATCTATAATGCTCCATCTAGTGTTGAGTCATTGCCAAGGTTGGAATTTGCCTTTAATGAGGGTGCTTATTGTTTTGGGTTTTTCTATAGTTGAACTCGTGTAAGGGGTCCTATAGGCTTGCATGTATATTTATAAATTTTGACACACGTACTATAAATATAATTGATTCATAAAGCTAATTTGATTTTAATATCTATATAGCTAGTCTCTTATATTAAGTTCTTGGAGAAGATTGTAAATCTATAAGTTTAAGACTATATGTGGTAGCTTCACTCCTTTGCTTTCGTCCGTATTGGGCCCAATATTAACTCTATTACATGTTTATATATGTTGTGTCATTCAAGCACTCTAGTTGCTACTTGTTATGCATATCACATACTTAGTTACTTACAGTATGTGTTAAATCACAAAGATGTCTATATGCCACTAGTAGTATTGCACGTGCAAATGCACATTCAAAATATATGACATCTCACTCTATACGAAGTTTGTATATAAAAGATAGATATGGACATAAAATAGATCATGAAATTCAAAAAAGCAATTATTTCATCCTATATCTCTCACTTCAAATTTTCAAATACTTTATAGCAGTTTGGCACATGTATTGAAGTCAAAATATTGCTAAGTCTTATAAATCTATAAAAGTTACCAGATTAAATTTTTATAAAGCTAATATCCAAAAGCATAAGGTCTTTTTTATCAAACCCAGAGTTCTACCCTAATTTATCTTTAAAAGAACACACTTTAGAATTATTCTTAAACCCAAAATATCATACTGAATTATCTTTAAACGCAATATACAGTATTTCATTCATACTATTTTTCTATGATTGTCTAATTTGCTATATTATATTTAAATCGCTATGTTTTGATGTGAGTTGTTCTATTTTAGGCTAATATTATATTATAATTTAATAGCGTATCCAGAACTGAGGATGTAAAGAAAGTGAAATAAAATAATTCAGTATGGTATTTTGTGTATGAGAACGATTGTATAAGTGAGTCAGTTTAAAAATAACTATGCTAAAACTTTATGTCCATAAAATTAAAAAAAAACAAAATATAACAAAATGCATGAGGTTACATGGTAGGTTTTGAAAACTGAAAATAATATCTTAGTTTGGGTAAATTACACTAAACCCCCTATAACTTCTGCAGAAAACCCCAAAGTTAACGCTATTACATCTGACGTGACACATGCAACTCCTATGACTTAAAAAAACCAAAATATCCTTAAATTATTAAAAATCCCTTTATGATCTTTTTATCTTTGCAACCCTAAAACCTCTCGTCTGTTGTCATTCATTCTCCTCTTGCTAGCACATAGTTTGAGGTCCCAAACGCAAATTGTTTTTTTTTCTTTTTGTTGAAATTGTTCTTCAAGTTCTCTTTTTATGTTGGTTTTTGGTTTTAATTTCTAGGGGTTGGGTTATCTACAAACCAAAGAAGCCTATTAGGGTTTTTTGCAATTCCAAAAGTTATTATAGATTTAGTGTGATTCTGAAAGTTATTGGGAATTTACTACAAAATGTTGAAGATTATTAGGGGTTTAATGTGGTTTTGAAAGTTGTTAGGGTTTACTGCAAATTGCTAAAAGTTCTTGGGGGTTTAGTGTAATTTACCCTTCTTAATTTATATATTTTGTCTTCTCTTTTTTTTTCCAAATTTATTAAATAAATGATAATGATTTTAACTTATTTTAGAATTGAATATAATAATATGATTCATACAGTCAATCTCAAAAAATAGGCAAAGACTTTCAAGCTGTTGTCATTTAAGTTTAAATAATAAACTTCTCTCTACTAGGACATAAAATCATTTAAGCTTTTAATTGGAAAATATCAAGATTCATGAGTCTAAGATCAAACTAAAAAAAAAATTAGTTTTTTTAGGTGTTAAATGATAATAAATTTATTATAGTTATGATTTAAATTTAAATAAAAATGAAATATCTACATGGTTTAATCTAATAATAGCAAGATATAAGGGTATAAAATCCAATTAGGCTAAAATTGGGGTCTGCTATAAAAAAAGCGCCTATTGTTTTTTTTTTAATCAACTCTTTCACCCTTTATCTAATCATGTCTTTCTATGCTAAAATCCAGTGAGACCCATCCTTTAACTTTCACAAAAAATTGTGTGAATGTGGGGGGCGATTGGGTGACCGGCATTTGATTGCTTGGGTATGTTCATGTATTTACTAAAATGCTCCTATAATTTAATTGATGAACACCACTGATCCTTATTTTTCCATGCCCTCACTTGGTTTCTTATCTATTAGTATAGATTTTTATGTGATCAATCATGCATATATTCATTTATACAAGGCTAAAATGCTAATTAGGTCTCATACCGAGGTTTCATTCTCAGATTGGTCCCCCTATTGTTTTTTCTCAACTTAGTCCCTGCACCGCTTCTAAGTTATAAATTTAATGCTTTTTTAACATTCATGAAAATTTAGGTGTCAATTTTTTGTTTATGACCATATTACCCTCAATGAGGAGTCACCGTACTTTTTGAATTAGAAAACTTCTTTTATCTATTAGTATAGATTTCATGTGATCAGTCATGCATGCATATACACAAAGCTAAAGGGCCAATTTGGTCATGTATTGTCATGCATGTATATACACAAAGCTAAAAGGCTAATTTGGTCATGTAATGGGATTTCATTCTCAAATTGGTCCCCACTACTTTCTTTTTTTCTCAATTTAGTCTCATAGCGCTCCTTAGTTACAAGATTAATGCTTTTTTAACATTTGTTAAAATTTGGGTGTGAATTTTTTTGTTTATGACCATATTTTCATTTACACAAAGGTAAAAGGGCAATTTAGTCTCATATTGGGGGTCTTCTCTCAATTAGTGTCATACTTTTCATTTAGAAAACCTCTTTTTAACCTTTTAAAAGCAATATAAGCTTGCTAATAGTTCTTAAAACTCTCTAATCTATAGTATCATGAAGACTATTGTGCTTACAATAATTTTTATGATAGTAAATAATTGGAGAATTTTTTTAAAAAAAAGACCCTTTGTAAAAAATTATTAGCAAAAAATAATATTATTTTCTAAATAATTAGCAAAATCAATCTCTTTTTGGCTAGCTCATTAAGGCTGACCAAAAAGAAGTCGAATTTACAAAATTTGGCCTTGAAAATACACGGGACTACTAATCTCATGTGTTTAGCTTTCTCTAATCAGCCTCCAAATACAGCGTAGAGT